TCGGTAACTACTATAGGACGCAATGATTTACCAAATGAAGTACAAATAATCGGAGGTGTAAATATTAGGAAAAAAAGATGTTTAGCACCAATACATCACAATATTAACGACCAATGTTTGATAAAGGTAAATAAAGTAAAGAATATGGATTAAAAATATTTTTGAATTAATGGATAATAAATAAAAAGTTACTGTTATATAATATTAATTATAATAGAATATTAAGAGAAATAATTATAAGAGAAGGAAATAATTAAAATATTATTAAATTAAATATTTTATTGAAGGTACAAAATCATGATGGTCAAAACCATTGTCTTTTTTATGCAGTTCAAGCTACACTTTTTCGTAGTATCAAACAATGGAAGAGATGGAAATTTTATGAATATCTTCATGATCGGAGACAAAAAGAAGAATTAAAAAATGATGTAAAATTTTTAATGGAAAAAATTGGCGCAAAATCCGGTCTATGTAATTACGATGCTAAAATTTATATACCAAAAATTATTGATTATTGGAACAATTATCTTTATTCTTCTCAACATCGTTTTAAAGCTTTTATTTTTGGATCAAGTGGACATTACAAACCTTTATTTAAATATGGTCCTAATGACTATACAATTCCTATTATACTTTATTACAATAATGAACATTTTTATGGAGTACAAAAAAGTGGAAATTTATTCGGTCGTCCTTATTGCCTCGAATGTGAATCAACATATAATAGGCCCTTTGAACATAATAAAAACTGTAGGTCTAGATGTATACGGTGTACTCGTGTTGGACCTTTGTTCCCCTGTTCATCAACAACAATTTATCGAAAATTCTGTACTTTTTGTGGAAAAACTTTTTATAATGCTGATTGCTTTAATTTTCATACTCAATCGAAGATCTGTGAAAAATCAAAGCAATGTAATAACTGCGGTGAAATCTGGGATGTTCATACAAATACAAGAAATGGGCGGAAGGTTAAAATTTAAAAATGACAAAATTTAATTATTCATAAAATTTTTAAAATTTTAAAATTAATTTTTGAATTATAGGGTCATGTCTGTAACGAGAAGTTTTGTTTTAATTGCAAGGCTTTTCATGATCTGAAAAGGGGATGTTATATAAGAACAATTGATCTTAAAGTTCTTAAACCTTACCGAATTGTTGTATTCGATGTTGAAACAACACAAAATAAAATATTGGATTCTGGAGAAATTAATGAAATAAGAAGAATCCATCAAGTTAATTTTATATCAGCGAAAGTTGTTTGCTCCTTTTGTATAGAAAATGGTAACTGGAGCAAAACACTAAAAGATTCTTCGATACAATGCCATGTTTGTGGTAATAATCGTTCAATTGCTTTTGCTCAACGCGATTTTAGTGAAACTTTTGTAGATAAAAAAGTAATATTTTACTTTAAAAATTTTTATATAAGATATAAAATTAAATATGAACCTATCCTAAGATTTAAATTAATCAGTTTAAAAATGAAATTAATAATAATTATTTTTAAAATATATTTTTGAAATAAATCTTCAAGGTTATTTGCTCCAATCCTATTGAAAAATTCGTTTCATGGATACTTTATGATTTACCAATTAAATTCAAGACACTTTGTTTTTCCCATTTTGGAGGAAGATTTGATATGATTTTTGTGTTCAGAGAAATTTATTCAAATTCCCTAAACCCTTCTATGATACGAAAGGTTGTCTAATAAAATAATCTTTTAAAATAAGATTTTAGGGAAATAAATTATATGAACTTCGCGTACCAAAATCAAAGAAAAATCCAGAAGTAATATTTCGAGATTCATTCAATTTATTACCAACCTCATTGGCTTCCTTAGTACCATCTTTTGATCTCGAAGTCGAGGAAAAACCTTTCTTTCCTCATTTATCTAATAGAACTGAAAATTATGATATAAAAATGGCACATCTCCCTTCTAAAGATGAGTATTTGTGTAATGGTATGATGCCATCTAAACGTCAACAATTTGATATATGGTATGAGGAACACAAAAATGATACTTTCTTTCTTAATGAAGCACTTGCTAGCTATTGTTCAAATGACGTTGATATTTTGCTAAGTGCTCTTATTAAATTTCGTAAAGAATTCTTTGATGTTTCACGTAAGAATGGAGGATTTGAAGGTATTATTCAAATAAAAATTTTTAAAATTTTGTGTTTATTTTTTAATTTTATACTACTATTATTAATTACTCATTTTTGAGGAATCGATGTACTTCATGATTCTATTACTATAGCATCTGCATGCATGCGATATTATCGAGCAAATCATCTCAAACCTGAATATTTAGCAATCGTACCTGAAAGAGGGTATGATAGTGCAGAAAAGCAAAGCTTATTGGCCTTTAAATTTCTTCAGTGGTATGGCAATAAGCATAATCTTATTGTGCAAACAGCACATTCTGCAAATGGTGAAAAAAGGTAGAAAAATAAATTGATAAAAGTGCTAAAATAATTTTTAAAAATAAATTTAAAAGTTGTTTTGTTTATAATAACATACTTTTTCTTAATAGACATGTTTAAAAAATTTCAACAATTTTCTTTAATATTTTTTCATTCTAAGCCTTCAGCGATTGAACTAGGCTTTCTAAAAATTTTCTTTTATGTTTAAATTAAAGTTCATAAGGTCCTTTATTAATGTTATACTCGGGATAAAGAGATCTCTTAATAAAATATTTAAAAAAATTTTTTTAATTTTAATAATTTTCTTTAATATTTTTTCATTCTAAGCCTATCAGCGATTGAACTACGCTTTCTAAAAATTTTCTTTTATGTTTAAATTAAAGTTAATAAGGTCCTTTATTAATGTTATACTCGGGATAAGCAGATCTTTTAATAAAATATTTAAAAAAATTTTTTTAATTTTAATAAGTTTCTTTAATATTTTTTCATTCTAAGCCTATCAGCGATTGAACTCAGCTTTCTAAAAATTTTCTTTTATGTTTAAATTAAAGTTAATAAGGTCCTTTATTAATGTTATACTCGGGATAAGCAGATCTTTTAATAAAATATTTTAAAAAATTTTTTTAATAATTTAATTAAAAAATAATTTTTAATATGGTCAATATTAAATAATATTGTTTTAAATTCGTTAAGAGTTGGTAAATACAAGCTGGATGGTTGGGTGGAAAGTTTACAGCTGGGTATTGAAGTGCATGGTTGTGTTTGGCACGCTTGTTCAATTCATTATCCAGAAGAGAATGAATTATTACCAAATGGAAAGACAGCGGGATTTACTCGTCAGCTTAATGAGGAAAGAACAGCTTTTATTCGTTCCAATATTAAAGAACTAAAAATATTTTGGGAATGTGAAATTAGCAATATGTTATCAAAAGATCATGATATGAGATTAGAATTTGATAACTATTTGGATGAAGGTCCACTAGATATTAGATCCTGTTTTTATGGTGGAAGAACTGGACCCCTCATGCTATATTATGAGCCAAAAATTGGAGAAAAAATATCCTATTTCGACGTAACGTCGCTTTACCCATATATAAAGTAATTAAAATTTATTAAATATAAAAAATTTTTTTAATTATTAAAATAAATTGATAATTAAAATTTATTAATAAATCTATTGATTAATTAATCAATTACATAAAGTTGTACTACGATTTATCCTATTGGTCATCCCAAAATACATGTATTTAATGAAGATGTGCTCTGGAAACGCTCTACTGACAATCCATATGCTTTAGCTATTTTAAAAGTTTTTGTTGTACCTCCACAAAAAATAGACGTGACAGTTCTTCCAATGAAAGTGGATGATCGTCTATTATTCCCCTTATGTTCAACTTGCGCGTAATAATTTAAAATAAATTTTAATTAAATTATCTAAATGAAATTTAAAATAAAATTTAAATAAAATTAATTAATAATTTTAATTATTAAAATAAAGGAAAAAGTATCCTCATGGAGATGTAATATATGATTATTCTTGTAAACATTCTGACAAAGAAAGGGGTTGGATTAGCACATGTACTTCAATTGAATTAAATTTTGCCCTTGATGAAGGATATTGTGTCACTAAATTATATAGAGTTCTGGAATATGAGAAAGGCGATCAAGATCTTTTTAGACCATACATAGCAGAATTTATGTCCCAAAAAATTCAAGCTAGTGGCTTTGATAAGGAAATAAATGGTGAAGTTGCTGAAAGAAAATTTGTTGATGAATGTTGGGAGCGATTTGGTATTAAAGTTGATCGTGAAAAAATGATACCTAATAAAGGTAGAAGAGCACTATCAAAACTTGCTTTAAATAATTTATGTAAGTCTAAAACTATTGAAGAAATTATTATTACTATTATATAGGGGGAAGGTTTAGTCTCAGAAATCACGGCCTTTCTAAGTCAATAATTATCGATGATCCTTGTGAACTTGCTAAATTTATTGATAGTCACAAGATTGAAATTACAACTGTAGATCAATTGACTCCTGAATGTATACTACTTACTTATATGGAAAAAAAGGAATGGGTGGAAGAACATGAATGTAGCAACATAGGTTAAATTTTTAAGTTTACTAAAAACGTCTATAATATTAAAAATTAAAATAAATACTAAAAATCTTTAAATATTAAATTTAGTAATATCTTTGTGGACGACTTCGGCTGCTCGTTTGCACTTGTTGCGTGCAATGCAGAAAGTTGCTCGTTCGAACAATTGTAAATTGTTGTATACAGGTTATTTATAAAATTCGTTTTAATTAATAAATTAAGTTAAATATTTTAAAAAATTTTAAATTATATTTCTTTTGTAAATTAAAAGAAATACTTAAAAATTTTGAAAAATTTACAGTTTTTTTATAAACAATATTTTACTTTAAATTTTAAGATACCGATTCGCTAATTTTTGCTCACCCACAAGAATATTGTCCACTTCAAACGGGTCCACATTTGGGTGACCTAACTGATGAATATCCAAATCATTTAATTTCTGAATTTACCTGTGGCGGATGTAAACAGTACGGATTAAAACTTATGAAAAAGGATACTGTTCCCATTAAATATGAATATGTTTTAAAATTACGTGGAATTACATTAAATCATGACGTTACTGTTAATCAAGGCTTACAATATGAAAATTTCAAAGAAAGAGTCATCAAATATGCAAAAGATTCTGACTTGGATCCTATTCCTGTCAATTATTCAAATTTTCTTAGGCCATCAATACCTAAAGGAACAATAACTTCAGTTCCGATGACAAAAGTATACAAGCCTTATGTAGGAAAGGGAATCATTTCCCCTCAAGATTTCCGTGTATTAGATTTTGGTTATACAAAATAATTAATTTTATTAACAGATAAAATTTAAAAAATTGTTATTTTTATTTAAAATTGAAAAATTAGCAAATAATATTTTTAGAAGATGAAATTTAAAAATAATTAATAGTTAAAAGTAGGTAATTTTAGGGGTAAATTAGCAATATTAGCAAATAGAAAATGATTTTTTAAAAATTTTAAATTATTATTTTATAAATTAATTTGTAAAATAATTAATATTTTGAAGTTGGGAATTTTTGGGTAAAATACAATATTGAATAAAAGATAAACTTAAATGTATATTAAATAAAAAATTACCAATATGTATCGTATGATAGCTGATTACACTCCTTCCTGGCACGAGCATAAGTTTCAAATTCTTTATCCTTTGCTTCCTCTCCATTATCATTTAATTCTATCTTCAGTTCGAAGTTTTCTTTGTTGTCATCTCGCAAGAATGTGTTGAAACAATTAGTTGAAGATTCATCGACAAGTTCTAGCAATTCAAGGGGAAAGTATCGATCTTCAGCTCCATTTTTCTTGTCACTGAATTTTTCAATGATGCAATGTGTATAAGGGTGATGAAGACGTATGCGATGTCGTGAATAAAAATGTGCAGTGACGCTTATATTAAAAGGTCGTGGTAGTCGTCCATAGGCATTAATTTTGTCTGCACCAAATTCACTTAAACCTCCAATTTTAAAAGTTTTGTTGAATTCATTTCTGTCTTTATATGTAGTACGAACTAATTTTCCTCTAAAATTTTCCAGAATGACTTCGCGATCTTTAGGATGATGGAGTCGTTCGCGTAGTTTTGAAGGGTGACAATTTAATATTTTAGAAAACGCATCAATTAGAAGTACCATTTTTAATTAAATTAATAAATTATGGTCTATTATAAAATATTTTTTAAATGATTTGTTAAAATTTTTGGACTTAAAAATAAAGGGGCGGATTATATATTAAATTATAATCATAAATTTAAAGTCAATTCACCGCCCACTTTAGATTATAACAGGTTATTAAATCTAATGGCTTCAAAATAGAGGGGTGGATTAAATATTAATTGATAATCAATAAAATGAAAGTCAATTCACCGCCCACTTTTTAGATTATAACAAGTTATTTAAATCTGATGACTTCAAAATTGAGGGCGGGCTTATATTAATTACTATTTAACAACCTGAAAGTCCAAGATACCACCCACTTTTTCGAGTATAAAAGGGTATCCTTCTATTCATTCACTAATTTTACTAATATTCAGCTAATAAATACGTCCTTTAATCAATCAACAATGCCTCGCAAAAATTCTTTAGCTAAAGAAGTAAAAGAAGTGCAAAATATCACAGAAGAGAATAAACTCGAAGCTATTGATTCGAGTCTTGATACGACAAAAACAACTAAAGATTTAATAGAAATTCATACACCGTTCTATGAACCACTTACTAAGGAAGAACTTGCTAAGGCAAAAGATAAGAAGACACCTGAAGATAAGACAACAAAGAATGAATATCTCTGGAAACTAATCAGATGTAAATATCTCCTGACAATTAAACTGTGCTCAGGTGAGAATTTAATTTAAAATTTTAATTAAATTTTGAAATTTTAGCTTGTCAGAATCGTTTGTTCTTGATGCAAGACAAATTTATACGCTACGCATCAGGAGTCACATTAAAAATTGACTTATGCAACGACTGTATTGATACTAATTGCCGTGCATCAGATGTTCTCGCTCCCTTCAAACAAACAGGAACTAAGCGAAAAGCCAATTGAAGACTTAACAATTGAATGAACGTAATTTATTTGATATTAATTAATTAATATTATTAACTTTATTTTATTAATTTTACTAAATTATTTGTTAATTTAAAATATCGAATAAATATTAAATTTGAAATATTTAAAATTTGAAATATTTAAAATTTTTTAAGAACTTGCTAAGGCAAAAGATAAGACTTACTAAGGAAGAATTTTATTCATAAATTTTTTCACTAATAAATCACATGATTTAGGATATCTTTCCAAATACTCTATATAGTCATTAAAAGAGTATCCTTTTGATAAAAAATAAATAAAACAAATACAATGATGTCCACAAGTATCTTCAAATATAGATTGATAGGCTTTCTTGTTCTTAATTGTCCTCGAGAATTTGTTTAGGAAGTTTTCCTCTATCATTGAATTGACAGGCAGCGCCAGGCTATCAAAGTAAATCACTTCCTTTCTCTTATCATAGGCATAGATTGCTATCCAATGTGAACCCTTTAATTGATGGCGATCTAGGTTTACTACAAGCGCTGCCGGGTAAATCAAATGTGACGGATTAGGCATGAGATCACAAGGAAAACAACCTTTAAATACTTTTGCCGTCTCTTCATTTGATCGTAGTATTTTTGAAATTTGTTGGCTGTCCATATTACGATTTAAATTATAGACCTTCCTGTTGATCTATAACCGACAAAGTAAAGAAATAAAACCTTAGTAATATTTTTAGTTTTTAATAAAACATAAAATTGTTAATTATAGGTTACACTTCATTTTGTAGCTGTTGTCGTGGGAGTTTAACCTTAAACCATATAATTGACCTTATTTGGTAAATTACAAGGCTAGTGATCATCAATATGTAAATTACAAACATGACCCAACAATAGACATGTTCAAAATCATTTTTTGGTTCTGTGCAAAGACTAAGCGCCGTGAATTGGGGGAATGAAACGGGGGACTGTCTTATATTAATTTTTGACTCTCTTAAATTAGATGAATTTTGGCGCAAATATTCTGAATATTCAGGTAAATCCTGCTGCTTAATTTTAATATTATATGTTGAAACATTTATTAAAATATTTATTAATAATAATATTTTGAAATACATATTAATTGTTTTAATAATAATTATAATAATAATAAATGAGAAATTTTTAAAAATTTGTGAGCTTAAATACTAAATTGTTGTATCACTAGAAATAGTTCGATTCTTATCTAACATTAACAGTGAGTCTGCTTCACCCATAACTATCAGCATCAATCCTCCTTCAGGTACTGGATTACTAAATTTAATGTTTACAGCTGTAGTTCCATTTCTAATTAGATCAAAGAGGCCTCCATGGTCATCTCCACTGTTTGTCAGGTTGAATATATACACACAATGTGTGTTTCCAAATTGAGGTAAACTAATTCCATTACTTTCCATGGAATTATTGAATCCAATTGCTTCATTCATATCACTAAATGCTCTGGCAAACTTTCCATTAGGATAGTCTAAATCATAAGGAGCTTGAGGGTAATTTCGACCATTAGCTACAATACTTATTTCCCTAACATTAAATGGTTGGAAGTTGAATGGGCTTCTTGATATATTTCCAACATAGTCTGCATTAGATACTAATCCTAGTGTAATTCGACGAGGTATTTGATCCATAAATAGATTTGCATTAAATTCATATCGCCCAGGGCTAATAAAAAGTGACTTCATCATTGTTTTCCTAATAGCATATCGAGCTGGTTTTGTTTCAAGCTTTCGAGCTATGTCCAGAGCCAAACCATCCATTAAGTCAACCTTCTTTATGTAAAGTTTACAGTTGAGAATTTCAAAATGATACCGAATTGCACGTTGACCAATTAAAACAAAATTAGTCTCATTGGGTATTATTTCAATATCAACTTCACAATGATTAATTAGATAGAGAGGCTGGTTAAATAGATCAGCATCTATTTTTGAAAGAAACTGAGCTGTTCTACTCGATGTAAACAAGGCTTTTCTCGTATCAAATCCTGATCCTGCCTCTAGAGTTAACTCATTATTACCATAGTATCCAGCTGCATTTAAATGTGAATTTTTTGAAGTAGTTGGATATGAAAATTCGTGTGAAAGATAGGATTTATACGCATATAGAGAATTTGAATTAAATATTTCTCTTCCATTAATATTTATGCGCATATTATTTATAAATGTCAAACCAATTAACTGGATAGGTGCCACGTTTTCATTTGGAGTTAAATTTACTAATTGACCATTCTCCTCTTTTCGTATCCGAAATTCTGATAATATATAACATTTGGAAAGATCGATGAAATTTTGGCTTGAATGTATTTTGAAATGATAAGGAGTATCTGTTAATGGATTGCTGGTCAATATCTCATATACTTTAGCTGATGAAATACTTACATTCGTTGGCGGAACTTGGAAAAAATCTAAGGCATTAGTAATTGAATTAACGCTATCGCTGTCTATCTTATGAAACGCCATTTTATTTAATATAAACCAAATGCGTCTGATCTAATTCTTTTCTTGGAAACGTTTGGTTTTGTAATAATTTTACTAATAATTGTTTTATGTTGATTAATTAACGATTTTCTTCCTCCTTTTATACTCTTTCTTCCACGTCCTGTACCAAATTGTTTTGGTAGACCGCCTTTATCAAGTACTGCATCAATTCCTCTTTTTCCCTCGCTTGTAAAAGCACTCTTTAGGGTCTCTCCTTGATTAACTCTGTCTAGCACTCTTTGACCAGTGTTTAACGCCTCTTGGGATACAGTGGTGCCAACACGTTTCATAATTGGAAGAAAGAAACGCCAAACTCCTCTAAAGACATCGCCAATTCCCGCACCACTTTGAATGCCGTAACCTCTTTGAAATGGTGGCGCTCCTTTGAAGTATGTATAGTTGCTTTCACTTAAATTCTCGAAACCACCACCTTTTTGGATATTTTGAACAAAATCATCATATCCTACCTTTGATGTATCAAATATAATATGTACCATTTTTATAAATTTTATTACTATTTTACTAAATGAATACAAAAATGAATGAATAGATTTATATAGTCTTCAAAAGTTAATAACTTTTTTAAAAATTAACACTATTAGTACTGTTCCATATGAGAAAGGGACTAATCGTCCATCGTCTAATGTCCTTAGTTCAACTTCAATATCATTAATTTCTTTAGGAAGAACTCTTGCATAGATTGGTGTATCATAAATCTTTTCATTATACTCTCCAGGAGTAGCACCTGAAATGGAGACCACTCGCAGTAATGAACTGAGTGAATCACCAATAATCATCTTCTCTGTAAGTCCTTTTACATACACACCGAAGCTAGAAAAACCTCCACGTAAATCGCTTCCATACTTTGCTACCTCTTTATTTTTAATTAGTTGGGGGTTTTCAAATCCTAGGACGTAGCCTAATTGTGTTGATAATGATATGTAATCAATATTTGGATGATCAATTTTTAGAAAAAATTTAGCAAAATCAGTATTGTATTCAAACGTAATAGAGTTGATCATATTTTTTAAAAGTGTCAAATTACCGCTAAGTCGAATACCTCCCCTCCATAATGAAAATTTATTAGTGTCAACATTATCCGTATTTTTTTCTTCATTATCTTCGATTGTGATCTCGTTGTTATTATCTTTTATTAGAGTTTTATTATTAGTATCTCGAACATCCGCTAATCCTAAAGCTACTAGAGGAGTTACAATATATTTTGAATTTGTCTCCTTTACAGTCTGAGATTTGGAAGATTGATTAGTATTATTTTGTGTCTCCCATTGAGGTACCTCTGATTTCTTTTGCCTATCTTTCAACGGTTGAGTATTTGATATCTTTATATCATTTGTCTTCTCTTTTTCTCCAACGTGTTCATTTTCCTTTACGTCTACCTTATTTTTCTCTGGCTTAGGTTGATCAATTGGTGGTGATATTTTTGGAGGCGATTTTGGTACTGTATTTATTTTGGGTTTTGTCTCTATTAAATTATCGACCTTTGAAGATTTCCCTTTTTCTCTTTCATGTTCTTTTCCCTTTACATCTATAACTTTATTTTTATCTAGCTTTGGTTGATCAATTTGTGGTGATATTTTCGGAGGCGATTTTGGTATAGTATTTATTTTAGATTTTGTCTCTGTTAAATTATCGACTCTTGAAGATTTCCCTTTTTCTCTTTCAGATTCTTTTTCCTTTATATTAATAACTTTATTTTTCTCAATCTTTGATTGATCATTTTCTGGTGGTGATATTTTTGGAGGCGATTTTGGTACTGTATTTATTTTTGATTGTGACTTTGCCAAATTATTGATCCTTGGAGGTGATTTATGTAATGTATTCACTTTTGGTTGTGACTCTGGTAAATTATCGGCCCTTGGAGGCGACACGAGATCACGCTTCCATCTTCCATCTAGCCTTGGAGGTGAGATTGGGGACGATATTTTTGGAGGTGAGATTGGGGACGATAGTTTTGGAGGTGAGATTGGTGGCGATATTTTTGGAGGTGATGGTAGATCATTGTTATCTGGAGTTGTTTCGAGATCTCGCTTCCTTTTTCTATCTAGCCTTGGAGGAGAGACTACAGATTTGCTCTTTGAACTATTAGGATCGAAGACCAAATCGATTGCTTTACTTTGATGTTCAAGTGTTGAGTTCAAGAAATCTCGTAATTTTTCAACTTTAGTGTGGGAAGCTTTAGGTATAGGTACACGTAGAATACTTTTCTGTCCAAGATCATCGGTGAAATGAATTTTTAGCCATTGATCGTCCAATGTGCCAATAGTTGAAGGCCATGAATAAGGATAGGTTATACTGTGTAATCCACACACCCAATTTCCATTGAAGTGAATAGGCTTGGGTAATTGAACACGGAACTTATTTGGTTTGTTTATAGAATAAACTGGGACATTACTAGGTAAATGTATAAAAAATGTGTTTGACATTTTATTTAAAATTGAAAAAAATTTTTTACAAATATGTATGAAAATGAATGATTTTTTATACTAATTGTGATTCTTGAATCCATTCGGGTTCTGGATATCCAATAAATTTTACCAAAAATTCTTTAGTTCCATCACGCTTTCTTTTACGCAATATCTTCTCAATACGATATTCAGTCTCGTCATCTTTCCTTACTCTTGTTAGCTCCTCTCTATAGAAAGACCCTTTGAATTTATCTCCTTTATCATCTCTTATTTTATATGTGATAGGAGATTGAGTGCTCTTCACGTCATCTACTTGCAATATCTCATCACCCCAGTTTGGCAGGTACCCCTTTTCAAAATGTCCCTTGTCTCGGCTTAATCGAACGTAATCACCTTTATTATATTTCGATTTAATATTTTTGACCCCTGAAGAAATATTCCCATAAATCTTTTTCCATACAGTTTGAGCATTTTTAAAATTAACGTCAATTGGACGCAATCCGTGAACTCTGGATACTGAATGATTTATTCCATGAACAATTTTTTCCAAGACATCTATCCATTTTAATGTCTGTTTTTGTGCAAAATACCTATATAAACGCTGTTTTAAATTCCTAATTGCTCTCTCAGCTATTGATGCTTTTACTTTAGAATGATTTGCCTCATATTTTTCAATATCCTCTTTTTCAAAAAGCTCTTTTAAATGCTTATTTTTAAACTCGGTGCCTTTATCTGAAAAAATTCTATGTGGTTTCATTGGCATTTTGTATATTAAATTCTTAAAGGCTTTTAACATTTCTTCTGCATTCTTAGTCATTAGAGGGGTTGTAAATAGACGTTTTGAAAGGACATCGACTCCTACAAGAATATACCGATTGCCCTTGTTGTGTCTTGAAAGTGCTTGCATATCAGCCAAATCAACCTGAAGATCAGTCATAAAACCGGCTGCAACTGTTCTACTTCTAGAGAAACGTACTCTTTTTGGTCTCATGATAGAATAGGTTCGGTGTCCGTCTAGATAATTTTCAATCACATGTCTTGGAATATTTTTATATTTTTTCTTTGCTTCTCTCCATAAACTATCAACTCCTGCATATGCTGAAGGGTTTTCTGGGTCATTGTACAATCTTTCAAGTAATTTTTTAGGATCTGCCATTTTAGAATATTACCAAAGACCTGGTTTAAATCTATTAATATCTGACTGCGTTGGTTTTCTCTGAGCCCAGATCTTTCGCTGAATATTAGCTTTTGATGGTCTTCTTTGTGCCCAATTATTAATGATTCTAAGTTTTCGTTTCTTCACTGGGACGTCCGGATATCCTTCTTCAGTATAGTGTAATTTTCTTTTTTCGATTCTTCTCTTTTCCTCCGGTATTTCTTCCCTTATTTCTCTTTTAATTATTGGGGTTTTTACTTTACCTATTGCATCATGAGGTTGGGAAATAAGCGGAGCATTTAATGATTCGTTGATATGTTCACTTTTTATTGATCTATTTATAAGATCACTAGGCATATAAGGTACTCTCGATTTTTTAATATCTTGCTTCCTTATTATGTGTTGTCTTTTCTTTTCTTTCCTCTCTCTAAAGCTTTCTAAATAACGATTATCTTCCCTTTCTTTTTTTAGTTTATTTTTTAATTTTCTGATATTCCTTTTCTCAATCTCTTCCATAATTTCATTATTAGGTTCTTTTTTAGTTTTTATTAATTTTCTTTCTTCCAGGGAATTCTCTTCCTCTCTTTTTCTTTTAGGATTTCGATTGAAGATCAAAGGTGTCCTTACTTTTTTGACCCAATCACGAGGTGGAACTGGTGGTGGGGATGGAGGTTTAATTTTAATGTTTCTCCCATGAGGTGGGATAGGAGGTGGTGGTGGTGAAATTAATGGGGAATATTTAGGTCGTTGTTTTGTAAAAGAAAAATCATCACTCATCCAGAAGTCATTATCATCATCATTTCCAAAATCATCATCTCCACTAGCTATATAGGTTGCCGGTCGCGAATTAGTTTTTGGTAAAAAGATACCTTTAGATTTATCAACAACTTCAACTTTAACTGGTCTATTTTCCCTTTCGTTTCTTAAGTTGAGATATCTCCTCAATTCCTGGTTGTAATTTGCATTTTTGACTCCTTTACTGTCTCTTCTTCTTCTAACATTGTCTAATTCACGTTTAACTAAATCGAGATTAGGTTCTCCTGTCGAAGTAATTGATGACGTAAGACCTCTGTATAAATCCTCGGGGACGAGGATAAGTTTATTGGCCATCACTAACTTAATCTTTATTACTTAGTAGATATCGACTTGCTTCAATAATTATAGGTGTCAATAGAGCTGCAAATATTGAACCCACACCACTGCCTTTTTGTGTTAATATTTTGCGAGCACCTCTTTCGCTTCTTGTTCGACTTAATTTACGTACAAAATCTGCGTAAGGTGTTAGGCGCTTTTTTTGGCGAGTAGTTAGATTAAAACGTGATTTTACTATATTAATACAAATTTCTGCAATAGAAAGCAATTGTTCTCTTGTCGCTTTTTTTAATAATTTTCTTTTTTTCCTTTCAGAACTAGTAGAAGCTAGAGCTTTTAAAAATTTTATATTTTCTTTTACAAGGTGACTAATTTTTGAATTATTGTGTTCCATTTTTTGGAATGAAAATTAGTTTTTCATTGTCTTCTGTAAATATGTTTGACCTCAATCTTAATATTGGATCTGAGGAGGCATGCATATCGATTAGTAAATATCCATAAGGCTCATTGGTTGCCTGTTTATATGCGTCCAAGAAAAAATCCAATTTTCGTGGGAAGAGTTGCGTTCCTATGTTTCTGACACTTAAAGCTGAATTTGGTGATCTCATAAGCATAAGATATTGTGCATTTTGTCTGGCAACTTTAATCTTCTTTTCAAACAAATTTTGTGTGACAAAAATGATAGCAAAATTTTGATGATGTGATTTTTTAGTGAATAACTCGGAGAGGTATTTCTCATCAATTGAAAGTAATAGATCATCTAAAATCAATAATAATGGCTTTGGTTGTCGCTTTATAATTTCCTCTGTTGGAACTCCGCCATATACATTAACACCTGATCGTTGAAGCATCGGAACAATTGAACTCATTTCCCCGAAGCAATAGAGAATACTGACAGGTTTAGGGTCTATTAAATCAAAGGCCTGAGAAATTAACTTGATTAATAATGTGCTTTTACCAGAAGAACTAGGACCAGATATAATCATTCCAAAAGGCAATTTAAATTTTAAATTTTTATTCAAGATTATATTATTATTTAACATTCTTATAGTTTAAAATGATTAAAAATTAAACTGAATTTGGGTTTACAATATCTGTAAATTTTTGCGTATTAGGATCAATCATATCATTATAAAATGGCTCGTTGATTTTTTCTTCATTACTAATACTTCGCTTTACAACCTTCTTTTCATCACCAATCGATTTGAAAAAATCATCCAAGTCTTCCTCTATTGTTTTGATCTTTCCATTTGTACTTTCTTGTATTGCTTCTACGGTCTGCTGATTGTCTTCTAAATCCATGGCAGAGTTGATTATAGTTTTCACTTCTTGCTCCATTTTTACGTCGGAAACTTTTACTTGATCGCTCTTGTCTGGATAGCTTGACAATGGTTGAATAATAGGCTTATTTTGTTCAACACAGTCTCGATCATTAAATGGAATGTTGAGCACACGGCCTTTGTTTTTGATCTAAATACTAAATAAATTTAATAAATAAATTAAATAAACCCTAAAGAAACAATGACCAGGCATATCATATATTGAATCAAAGGGGACAAAGCGGTTCCCCTTGATCCGATTGCAGTATACTGTCACTCCTTCTTTTGTTACAACGAAGTCGATTTCAACTTCTATAGATTTGCACTCTCTACAACGTCCGCATTGATCAAATGGTAGAAAACGTGGAGTGCTGAGACGAGATTTTGCTTGAAGTGTTATTCCATTAGTGTTTACATTGAATTCAATCTCGGGGATTATTATTTCTGCAATATAACGTTTATCACGCATGTTGATAGCCATTTGATTTAATGATTTATGTAGATTTTTTACGAATGAAAGTCTAATAATCGAGGATTATATATTTACCAGCATAAAAACATTTAAAGAGACCGCCCATTTTATAAATTATACATTTTGCCAGAAATTTATAAATCGGGTAATTTAAATATGAACAATTAAACTTCCTATCTTTATCGTTTATTATTTTTTATTTTAATTAATCTTAATTTTCATTTCTATATAGATTTTCTTTTGCTATAAAAATGCCAGCCAAATCCGCAAGACAAATCGCTGCTAAAAATAACCAGCTTAGATTACGCCAGAAGCGCGCTATTGAGAGTTTTGATGGTGATGTAAAGTGGTTGGTAGACAATTGGAATGAAAAGATAACTGTTGGTAATAGGGCTAATTTCTGCAGAGACACCCGGCTTTTACTTAATCGGTTTATATTTATCTTTTAATTTTAAATTGACTTTTCTTTATTACAATACTATTTCATTTAACGATTCCAAAAATATAAGAATGTTGTAAATTCATAGGAAATTAGTAAATAGAGAAATTATAATGTATGTTTTTCTTTGTGTTTAGCCAGGTTTTTCATTCGAATACACATATTGGCCATGATGACATGAAACTTGGTTTTGAATTCATTGAGGATGAAGATTGGGAAGAGGGTGATGATTGCGGACAATTCGAGTTCGGATGCGGTAAAGATAAAATAGTTATGAAAGCCGATTGGGTCGATGTTGGTCATAAGCTCTATGGAATGATTTCTCACGAGCTATGCCACAGGTCTGAACATTTTCCAAATAAATTGTTTTGTAATTGAGTATTTAATTTAGGATTTTTATTATACAATCTATTTCTCAATTGTTATTCTCAAAAAATTCACTTTATTAATAGGGCTGCAAAACGCATAGATGGCATAGATAATGCCGATGCTGAACATAAAGGTCGCTATTGTTTTTGGCGTGATTCGATTAAAAAGAAATTTGACGAATCATTATTAGCCTCAATTAATTTGCCCTTCCCACAAATTGATTCCTAATTACCATTTTAGCTATTTTAAGATAATTTTTTGTTTATTTTAATGTAATGGTAATTTGTTTAATTTAGATTTTATTTTAATAAAAATTTTATTTTCAATTAAATTTATGTAGATGTAAATGTTTAAAATCATATTAATTTCCCCTACTCATCATTTATAGAATATACTTATTACTTCTTTTCCTTAATTTAAAGACTACTTCTCTTCCTTAATTAAAAAAGACAGCACTGGACATTTCTTTAGATGATGCTAAAAATACTTCAGCTGAACACAGGTTTTTTTTTAATTTATTTTTAAAACGCTAAAAAAAAGATTCTAGGGGTGGGGGCGTAAACGTCATTTGAAGGGTTCGCCTTTTGACCGCCATACATCCTTTATAACATTAATTAACGGTAAAGGCACTTCCTTACCCTCAGGTTTCACCCACAAATGACCACCAAAACCAATCCGATTCTTTTTGGAAAATGCGCGAAAAATGTTGTGTCATCGTTAAAATACTAATTACCGCTAAAACCCCTTCCTTACCCTTAGGATTATCCAATAAATGACCACTAAACCCGTCCAATACCTTTTGAAAAGTGCGCGAAAAAATGGCGTTTGACGACGGTCCCCTAGGACTCACTACTCATTGAGACACAAGAATAATGAAGAATAATTTTTCGATCAAAAATTAAAAATAAAATAATTTTTTGCTAATTATAAAAAAAAATTACCAGAAACCCCACAATACAAAGTCATTGCAGCATTCCCTGGATGACTACGAGAATCTCTGCTGCTGTCCCCTGAACAAAATCCACTTCTTCGTTCAGTTCGATATCCTTTACAGGCACAACAAACACCTCCACCAATTGCATCGTTTATATGGCCACAAGAAGTTGAGAAATTAGTAATTGGATCAGAACGAATGTCAAAAGACTTAAAATTAAAAAAAAAATTTAAAATTTTAACATTATTGAGAGGAAAATAATTCTAAAAATAATTTCTGAATATCTAACTCATTTCAATTAATTTATTAATCACAAATTACTTGATGAAAAGAAGAAGGCCCAACACGTGCCCAAATCTCTTTTCGTTTCATACTACTAATCCCAGCACTAGTCGGAGCGGAATCAGTAGAACCCTGTTGCCGTTGAACTGCTGCTGCTCGACAACGAGCTTAGATTAAAAAAAATTTTTTTTAAATTATTTTAAAATTAATTTACCTGTGGAAGGAGAAATTGGACTATTTTGTTGTTGTTTTTGCAGTGATGGAGAGGGAAGTGGAGGCATAGTAGAATTATTAGAGCAATCCTCTGGACGTAAATTAAGTGAGTACTTTGGCTTTGGAAATGTTTGTTGAGGATTAGGGTAATGTGAAGATGTTGGGGAAGACATTGAGAAAAAATCTTCTTCGCCTAAATATTTTTTTAAATTAATTGGTAATTATGTACATATGTACAAAAAAATAATTTTTAAATTATTAAAAGAATTTAGATTTTTGTTTCCATTTTTAAAAGAAAATTATAAACAAATACATATATCTTTCCAAAAATTAATATATTAAAAAAGACCTCCTAAATCCTTTTATTCTAAATAAGGAAATAAATTTTGACATCATCTCCGCCAAGAAAAATATGATTTTTGATTTACTCCAAGGATGTTAGACATACAGTGTTCCACACACTACCTAAATTTTCGTGTTTCTCGACTTAAATTGAGCTGATTTTAATTTACGATTACAAATAACCCCGTCAAATCGAAAAAATTTTCATTTTTAGAAGTCGAAAAAACCGAAAATCTAGTGTGAGGATATAGTTATGTGGAGCTATAATTAATTTTAATTAAATTGTAGAAATGATCTATTTAGAAATTAAATTTAGAAAATAAATAAATTATTAATTTTTAAAAGAAGATAATTTAAATAAAAATAATTATTAAAATATATTTTCTATTTAAAACCTATTTTTGAATAAAAGAATTTTTTAAAAGGTTATTTTTCTAGTTTTGCTAAAAAATGCCAAAAGGAGTGTTTAAATTTTTAAACGATTTTTTTAATTGTCAAGAAATAAAAAAATACTTTTTATATTTTTGCCTTCTTTATTTGAAAAGAAAAATATTTTAAAGTGAATTTTAAATAAAATTATTACAATAAAATGGCTTTTAGATAAAAGTTTGAATAAAAAAAAAATAAATTGTGTATATTCAATAAATTTAATTTTAGAAAAATATTAAAGTACTAAATAAACTTTTACCTTAAAATAAATATTTATTTATTTTGAAAACTTTAAATAACCTTATTTTAAATAAAAAATATAATTTAAGCAAAAAATATTTTTAAAGAAAATTTAAAGAATTTATTTATTTTCTATTTCTAAATTTGTTCCACACTAACGCTTTTTTATCTAAAAAGTATTTGGGTAAAACACGCTTGCTAAAGCCTTTATATTTCTCTCTTTGTTTAAAAAGTTTTAGGGATCTCTCCCCGGATTTTAACTTCATCTTCAAACCCTTGCTAAAAATGGATGCAAGTTTAGGGACAGGCTTTTGAGACAATTTCAGACTTTTCTGCCGTGTGTCTGAGAATTTCGGAGTCGAAGAATTTCGGCAGCAATAAAAAAGGCTTTTAATTTCAAAGCTTAATATCAAAATTTTACTAGATAGGAGTGTAGTAAATAAACAAAATTAAAATAATTAAAATAGAATTGCTATTAATTTCTCTAAAAATTAAAGAAATAATGAGGTATTTAGAAAAGAAAAATTTAATTTTTTTGGTAAAATTGACAAGTATTTAAAAGGAAAATTAAGAAATATTTATTTTGATTTTAAAATATATTGTTCTTTAAAATTAAAAAAAATTATTTTGGTTTTTGTTAGTTCATTTTTTGTTTTGTTTTAGTAATTAGTAAGTAAATGTACTTTAACTAATATTAAAACATAACTTTTTTACGTCAAAAATAAATATATTTATTTGCTTAACTAAAACATATGTGAAGGATATTTGTTTTAAGCTTGTTTAAATGTTTTTTTTGTGTTATTCTCTTTTTTTTCTAAGTAAATCACTCAATATATTAATTAATCTTTGGCAATGACTAAAAAATATTTTAAAGACTAAATTTAAACAATCAATTGAAAATAAAGTAAATTTATAGGTGTAAGGTGAAGAGCAGAGTACAGATAAATTTAAAATTTAATTCCCAGCACGCCCACATAAATAGATGTAAAGCTTAGTCGCATAAAAGGAAAGGAAACTACCACTGAAGGGACAGTGATAATTATTCATTCAATCAAGCGCCCATTCACTTATTAATCCCTCTGAACGTTTAATCCATGCATGAGACGTCTATAAACTGATTATTATTACCGCGGATTCCCTCTTGTAATTCCCTCACTCCGACATTCATATTTCCTACGGCAACACTTAATCATGGAATGACAACAACTACTCATGCCCTGGCCAGGCACAGAAGAATAATTCCAACAGTCATTCACCCAACTGCTCTGGCAGCGATCCACCGAATGCCTCTGCTCGTCCCCTATATGCCCGCACTCTTACTGGTAGCACCGGACCAGAAGGTAGTTTTTGGGGTATAAATGCCAATTATAGGAAAGATGTCGGCTGCCGGCAGACATTAGTATTATGGGAATTTAGCTTAATTTTTGAGGGTAAAATTAAAAAAAAATATAATTTAAGCGCTTTTCATATATAGAGGGAAATTTAATTTAAAAAAAAATAATATTATAATTTTTGGCGCTATATAAATATAGAGTGAAATAGTCTGTAAGCAGACTTTAATCTTGAATACTAATATATAAGATTAATTTATACTAAATAGCTACAGTTCCATTAAGAAATTCAATTATGGTCAAATTACCCTAAATTTTGGAACAATAATTTATTTAAGTCAATTATAAAAGTTTATATTATATATTCAGAGGGAAATTAATATAGATAAATAAAATTATTATAGAAATTATTACAGAAATAAATAGAAATTAAAATGAGAATTAAGATAGAAGTAGATAGTCTGTAAGCAGACATAAATCTTGACTAAATATTAATATATATATAATTAATTTTGTAAATAGCTATAGTTTTATCAAGAAATTCAATCTGTTCAAATCATTCTAAATTGTGGAACAGTAATATATTCAATTTAAGTCAATTATATAAGGAATTAGCTATTATATTCATTAAAAAGCTTATTTAGTAAATATCTAAAAAAAATAATAATTTTTTACTTAGAATGGTATCTATAGGTAAATTCATATAGAGATAAATAAAATTAAGATAGAAATTAATATCGAGATAAATAGAAATTAATATAGAGTTTAATAGTCTGTTAGCAGACCTAAATCTTGAAATTAAGATAAATATATATATAAAATATTTTCAATAAGATTACTATAGTTCCGCTAATGAGTTCATTCTTGCTAAAATTAAATTAAGTTCGGAACAATTACTAAACTTTTAGACTGAGTTATATAATTCATCAATAGACAGTTCATTATTAAATTTTATAAATACCTAATTATAGGATTCTATATTCGATATTTCTTGAGCAATTATCTCAGATCTTTTATCTATACATTATTTTTTATTTACATATAGTTATTGCTCATTATTACACATATTCTTTAGTTTAAGATTTCTTACAGAAAAACGAGAAGTTAAAATATTTTTCTCATAAACAAAAAAAAACTTTTTACAGGAAGCAATCCTTTATTACAAAGATATTTTCTCAGTAGGATAACAATAAAGAAATCTTTGTCCATAAAAGAAAAAGCTCTGAAAAATCAACAAACTGTTATTACACTAGAGCAAGCGAAATAGATTTATCAATCTCATTTAAAAGGAATTAGCTTTTCATACTTTCTCTCATTTTTTAATTTCTCAACAAGCAATCAACTTGTAACAAATAAATAAAAGCGCTTAAATACTTCAATAAATTATTTTAAATCCTAAAAGCTAATTGCGAATTGACTTAACTTTTGGAACCTGCGCTAAAATATTTCATTATATTATTAGTGCACACTCTTATTTTAATATATTATCTTATAGTCTGTAAGCAGACTCAAATCTTGAAAAATGTCCACCGAGGACGATATAAAAATAAATGTAATAGACAAACATTTTTGGGAAGCCAAACAAACTATTAAGGTCCAAGACTTAGAAAAGGCCCACTCAGAAGTAATTAAGTTAGAAGAAGGGGTAAATAGGGCCTTAAGACTTATTAATAGAAAAGTTAATACTAACTATGAAAAGATTAATACAATGGCTAAGGACGTAAACCTCAACATAAAAACACTTAATACCCAAATAATTTCATTATCGGAGAATGTAGAAAGATTAGAAGCTCTTAAAAGCGATACATTAGGACCAAACAATAGTACAATAGTAGACAATAGTCTGTTAGCAGACTCTAATCTTGACGAAACTCAAAAAGAATCTATAAACATGATTTCTTCACACTCGGGTCATATTGAAACATTTTCTGATGAATCTATTATAGCATACGATAAGTGGGCTGAAAAATTTTGTGACTATGTAGGGGCTACAGGTCGAACATGGAGCGAACCTGAAAAGGTTGCGAGACTTAAGCTAGCTCTTTCTGATACCCCAAGACAACTCTTTAAACAGTTAACGCAGCAAGAAACTAGTACACTAGAATCAGCATTAAAAGCACTGCGCTCAAAATTAGACTCGCCGCAGCGAAGGGAAATAACTAAACGTACATTAGCATGTTGCAAACAAAGGGAGACAGAAACCGTTTCAGAATTCCTTAAAAGACTCACTCCATTAGTAGAGGTAGTGAATTCCTCGTTAGATGAAACCCAAAGGAAAGAAAAAATTTGTGAAGAATTTCTAGATAGAGTAAAACCCAACATAGGATTCCTAATTAGATTAGTTGGGCTCTCGAAAGCTAAGGACTTAGATCTGGTAAAATCTCAAGCTGAGGAATTAGAAACAATGTTAGCTTCTGATAAAGGCCAAATTCAACTACAAAGTCCTTTCACACAGACGGTTCACGCGTTAGCTACAAATCCTGCTATGCCAAGCTCAAGCTATTCGATGCCTCCCAGGTCTTTCCCAAATCAGAATACTTTAAGAAGGAATTATCCGAATGCTAATTTTACTCCGCTAAACACTCAAAATGCGCGGTACATTCCTAATCGACAAAATAGGAATAATAGAAATGACAACTGGAGGGGAGGACAACAGCAACGCAACGAAAGGAAATGGAATAATAGACCAATATGCAATTTCTGCAAGCGCGTAGGGCATACGTCATATACCTGTCAAGAGCGACTTGCACGATTTCAAATTAATTACGCTGCAAATTCTCATAAGTATACTACCCAACAAGCAAAGCAACCGGTCACAGGGCAGATTAGATCCATTGAACCCTCAAATAAA